CCTCATTAAACACTCACGTCTACACAGAGTTATTTTGAGGACAGGTGAGATTAAATAAAGTCCTTGGCAATGAATCTACCATTACGCTGTGCATTTACAAGCATACCCTCTGTCTTTCACACAAATGAGAAACTAGGCAAGCTGTTCTGCAACTGGTTTTTATCATTTATCAACAAATCTTACATATCTCTTCAATGTCCACATACAGATCTATCGCTTTCTTTTGGTAAATTAACTGCCCACCCCCTTCCCAATCCACCCTTTGTCTAGATAACCCCCACTGATTCTTCCAACCCAGCTCAAAGCCTATTATATATTCCCACTGATTCCTGACATTCATTTGTGAGAGCTGTCTCCACTAGTTTGCAAGCTCCACTAGGGGAGGAACTGTGTCTGTTTATTCATAACTAATTACCCACGCCCAAACACCAGGTCTGACACACAGGAGGTGTTACATAAATATCAGTCAATTCAACCAATGAATGTTGCGTCTCCTTTACCAACCAGCTCTTTCTTATTGAGCGACATTAAATACAGAGCAGGCTCGGTTAACCTTAAGACAGCAAACTGTTAACAAATCAGTAATTTACCAGTCTCAGATGCTTTTGGTTAGAGTGTAAACAGGTTCAACATTTTTGAAAGACAATTAGGCACGACTTATTAAAATGTAAAATGTCTGTACAGTAGTCCTTCCTTATCTGCAATTTCACTTTCCACAGTTTCGATTATTGGCGGTCGACCGAGGTCCAGAAACGTTAAATGGGAAAGTCCAGAAATAAACAACTCATAAGTTAAAACTGCATCCCATTCCAGTAGCAGGATGAAATCTCACGTCGTCCCGCTCCATCCCTCCCGGTCGCGAACCATCCCTTCGTGCAGCATCTCCATGCTGGACGCGCTCCCTGCCCCTAAGCCACTCAGCCGGCTCGGCTCGTTATCACATCGACTGCCCTGGTTTGCAGCGCTTGTGTTCAAGCCGCCCTTGTTTTACATATAACTTCTATTACCAGTTATTGTTAATTTTATTACCATTTATTGTTAATCTCTTACTTGTCTAACTTATAAATAAACTTTATCACAGGTACGTATGTACAGGAAAAAACATAATATATAAAGGGTTCAGTGCTGTCTGCATCCACTGGAGGTCTTGAAACATACCCCCTGAGATAAGGCGGTGCTGTACCTTTTGACCAGCTTTCTCTCTTCCAGGAAGCTACCTTATAAAAATATATAAATGAGTGTTGAGACTGGCAAGGACGTTCTCTGCAGCATAGTTTTAAAAATACAGCCTTAAAAAACTTGCAATTAAAAAAATTAGTTATGTAACTATGTATGATGGTGGATGTTAACTGGACTTACTGTGATCATTTTGCAATATATTCAAATAGCAGATTATGTTGTACACCTGAAACTAATATAATGCATGTCAATTATACCCCGATCAAAAAATTACATACCAATGTCATAGCCAAAGAGCACCAGCAAATGACCTGCTCATAATTACAACGGGGTCTGCAGAGTGTCATCGGGCTCTCCGTGGCATTCTATGCACCAGACGCACCGAGCCTCAGCCCACCCACTTGGTGCCTGTCTGCACACAACTATGCAACGGGAAAATGAGAAAATTAAGGACAACGTAGCGAGTTTTTTAAAAAGTCAAATTTATTAAGTTTAAAACATGTCCTTTGTTCTGAATCTTTCCTTCCTATACCTTTTTAAAGGGTTAAAAAGGCCCTTTAAAAAATTATACTCATCGAGGTAACATGGTTAATAACATTATCTAGATTTCAGGTGCACATGATAATTCGATAGCTGTATGCCCTATTGCAGGCTCACCACCCAGTCTTCCATTAGCGTTTATTTGACTCCCTTTACTAATCTGCTTTCCCTCCACCCCCTTCTCCTCTGATAACCACTATTCTGTTGCCTGTATCCGTGAGTTTTTGTTTGGTTACTTTTTGTTTCACATTCCACATGAAATCACAGTTTTGTCCTTTTCCAACTGACTTATTTCACTTAGCATACTATTTTCGAGATCCATCCATGTTGTTGCAAATGGCAATATTTCATCTTTTTAGGGCTGAGCAGTATTCCATTGTGTGTGTGTACTGCATCTTCTTTATCCAGTCGTTCATCAATGAACACTTAGGGTTGTTCCACGACTCGGCTACTGTAAATACTGCTACAAAGACCCTTTCTTTTAAGAAACGATGGTGACAGTAGATGCTGATGTGGCTTGTTTTGTTTGTTTTTGTTGTTGCTTTGGTGTTTCTACTTGGAAAAATTTAAAAACCTGCAACTCCATGTTGACACCCCCAATTCTGTATGTACATTTTGGCGCCCTCTATTACGCAACTTTCCCAGAGCAAAGTTGTCTTTGGGGGGCAGTAGCAGTCATTGGAGAAGTAAGATACAGGAGGAAGCAAAAGTTAGAATTTCAATTTTACTCTTATAATCTCGGTAGCAACCAGAAATATGACAAGTGATGAGCAAGGGTTGACCTTGGTGAGAAGCATCCATCTTCACTGTCAATCTCTCCTCCAACCACCACGCCTCACTCATTCATTTATTCATTCACCTGTCCATCCACCAAATAGTTATTAACTACGGGACAAGGGACTGTTCTAGGCACTGGGGATACGGCAATGAATGAAATAGTCCAATACTCCCTACTCTCTTGGGATTGACATTCTGAGAGGTTAAAGGGGGTAAGTGATGGGAAGACAGACAAGTAGAGACAGCGAAACGAATACAACTTCAGTCAGATTAAAATCCTTAGAGAAAATGAAGCAGGAGCAACTGGAAAGGGAGCCCGGAGAGCGGGGAGCTGCAATTTAAAACTGGACAACGGGGAAAGGCTCGATGAGAGTGTGACACTGAATGACAACTTGACGAAAGGTGCGAGCCGACCTGCAGCTAGCTGAAGGAAAGGTACTCCAGACAGAAAGCGTAAAGGGCCTCTGAAGTGAGAAAGCACCGTTGTGTTTCAAGATCGGTAAGGAGAGAGCGTTGTACACCCACACTGATAGCGGCATTACTCACAAGCAACCCAAGTGTCCACTGACGGGGCAATGCGTAAACAAGATGTGGTACATACAATCAATGGAATGAATATTAGTTAGCCTTAAAAAGGAATTTTAAAAGCCTAAGAAATGCTGTCACAAGCTACAACATGGATGAACCTTGACGACGTCAAGCTAAGGAAATAAGCCAGACACAGAAGGATAAAAACTGTATGATCAGAGTATATGAGGTACCTGGAGTAAACAAGTTCACAGAAACAGAAAGCAGAATGGTGATTGCCAGAGGCTGAGGGACAAGGGAAACAGAGTTAGCGTAGAAACGGCCGAAAATGAGGCTAAGACGTAAAACGCAGCCAGGTATCATGAGGGACCTTGTAGGTGGAGGAGAAAAGCACCTTAGCAACCTTGAACCTTATGAGTCTTGGTGGAACACCAGAGGATGGGAGGCCTCTAAGGAGCGAGGAGGCCATCTCCCACTTTCCTCCTTATCTCCCGACATGAGAATCTTTCCTCGTCTCCCAGGATCTGATGAGGTGAGGAGCTTTCTGCCCCGGATCTTTCAGACTAGAGCTGCAGAATATAAGGCCACTCAACTGCAACAAGGTACTCGCAACTTGCAATGCGATTATCCACTCCTTTTGTTTTGGCGTCGTCCCGTTTGGTGTGTGGGACTAGGACCCAGGGGACTGGCACCTTTGGCCTATTTTTCTCACTCTGTATGTAAATAATGAACTGTCTAAATAGTAAAGTGGCTTGTTGTACTTTTAGCGGTTCAATCAGTCAGGCTCTGACCTTGTCCTGTGTGTGTGAGCTTTACAGAAGGACACGTTAAAGGTTTAACTTGACCCCAACGCAATGGGAAGCCACTGAAGTTAAGCAGCATCGTGACCAGATCAGATTTGCATGTTTTACAAAAAAAAAAAAAAAAATCACTGTGGCTGCTCTGTAGATACTACATTGAGGAGGTCCAGAAGTAGAACAGATTGATGGTGACTTATCACATAACATTTGTATTTTGACACCTGAGCCCCTACTCTGTGACACAGATACCAAGAGTAAGAGTCCCTACACTAATACACCTTAGCCTGGCCAGGATCAGCAGGTAATTGTAACCCAGGTGACCTATGAGAGAAGGAAGCACACACAAGGGCAGGAGTGCAGCAGAGAGAACAACGAACTCTGCTTGGGCGCCCCAGCGAGGCTTCAGCAGCGGGCTGTGGAGGATATCTAGGAGTTTGCGAGACACTCAGAGAGGACAAGAAGTATGAAAAAGAAACAGAATCAGCAAGTGAAGTGGGCAGGAGCTATGAATCACTCAAAATGGTGGGAGGTAAAAGACAAAGCAGGAAATGGTGGACGGTCAGCCTAGAAACGGGGCAGGGCTAGGGAGGGTGTGGTTCACCATCCCAAAATTTGAATTATAGCCTGTGGTTTAAGAGAAGCAATGTGGCACAGTGCAAAGAACTTAGATCTAGCTCCGAAGCCCAGCTCTACCATTCACTAGTTGTGTGATCTGAAGCATGTTTTACCTTTGAATCTAGCTTTCTCATTTGGAAAAAGGGAATAATACCTGTAGTAAACATAGGAAGTGATATGACTGGGTCCAAAGAACAATAATTATTATGTCAAATGCTACAAGCAAGTTTTTTTAAAACACAGTGTCTGCTGGGATTTTCCTCTCATTTTAAAAAGCAGGACATATTTCATGGAGAAAATTTAGAAAATACATAAAATACAATTTCACGACTCCCTGAAACCCATCCCGGGATGATACTTACCCATCACCACCCCTACTTCTGTGGGCTGATGCCAAGTACCTGGCAGCATTTAATACTCAGTGGCCCCAAGAGGGGTATCAAACACTGGTTGCATGCTGAATCTACCCCTCCCCAGTCCCTGGCATCATGGTACCCACTATACCCATACTGAGCAGGTGTCATGGCTGAGATTTCCAAGCAAAGGCAATGATAATAATAATTAGTAGTAGTAATAATATTTAATACTTTCTACTGAGTGCCAAGTTATAAGCGCTTTACATGGATGAACAGCCCTACTGTATACGAGCCTCACTTAACGGATGAGGAAACTGAGGGCTGCAGAAGGGTAGTGACTGGTCCAAGGTCTTGCAGATAGAGAATAATCATGTCGGCGTTCAAAGACGGTCTGGCTCTAGAGCACAACACTGAACTCTCCAAGCGTCTCCTGGCAACTCCAAGAACTGAGCTGTACATGAATGAATTAAAGAAATCATATAAAATCAAAATGGAGGATTTGCCGAACTGTTAACAGTGGCTATCCTTGGAGGGTGAAATTATGGAGAACATTTAACTTTTTATGTTTATGTAATTTTGAGCCTTGAACACTGAGCATACATTAATTTTAGAATAAAAAAAATTTAAAATATAAATTTCTTTCTAAGCACCACCCACGCTATTTCCGACAATCTGTGGTCTACTTCAGATTTTTAGATTTTTTTTTTTAAAGAACATGAATGTTTATTCCCTATTATACGAAAGTCAGTGGGCAAAAAAATTTAAAGATTTACAACATAAAGTGTTAACAAGGTTTGGGGAAAACAGTAAGTTCAAATTTGCGTGTTAGAAAATACTAATAAAGTCTTC